GAAGGCTGATGGAGGGGATGTCCCCTATGGAGCGGGTGGGTCTGAGAGCTCAGCCGTGTTGCACGCCCCCTGGGAGAGTAAAAGGCGAAACGTGCGTGTTTTCTTGCATGTGTGACACGAAGGGCTTCTCTAAGCAAGGAGAGGAGGCTGCGGAAGGAAGGCGGAGAGGGAGGACACACCAGTGTTTCACAGCTCGTAAAAACTGAAAAGTGGACGCTTCGACTTGGCAAAGAAGCCCAGGATTGAATGTGAAGAGGGACGGTACTAGTTGGAGGGTGTTTGTCTGAGAAGGCAACCCTTTGTTAAAACCTAAAACTCAAGGAGGAAGGAGAGTAGTCTGCAAAGGGCTAAATTTAAGGCGCATGTTGAAGGGCAGAACAGTTTTTATCTCAGAGACGTGGTGCAGGGTCAAGCAGTGTTCTGGCAGATCTAGTGGAAGGCTTTAATTTGAATTTTACTTCGCTCCAGGGAGGAACAGTGTGGTGTCAGAGARCAGGATGAATGAGCTGATGAGCCTTTACTGCCTTTGACTGCTCTCGCGAAATGGCGCCCACAACCATCTTGCTGCGGCATAAAYAAATTGAGGTCAAAGAGAAAACACATAATTTAACATAAAAGWATCATCACTTTGGACAGCTATATTAATAGAATGTTAGACTTAAGTTTGCACTTTGAAAGAGATTAAATATTTGGCAATAGCCTTATGCTTATGTTGTAGTAAGTTTTCAGATGCGGTTTTTGCATGTGAATCCACAGAAACAACTTCAAGGATGTGAATTCCTCAGACTGGACAAATTGCTCATACTTGCCATAGTGCTTGGTAGTACTTAARGGTAATGGCAAGCCTGAAACTGATAGTTTACTCATGCTGCTGATAATCTCAGGAATCAAAATTTGCAGGTTTGACATGAACCAGGTAGACATAAAAAATGAGATTATTATGCATTAGTGTTTAATCAAGCAGGCGTTTTGTGAGTTTAGTAGTAGAAACTGAGGAAGGTGGGCCAGAGTTTGAAATTACCATGATAAACAACAGCTATCCAGGACCAGGTAGCTGAGTGTGACCTCTGCTCAGTTACAACAAAACCATCTCTGTTACCATGGCTGTGTTCAGCACAAATCCAAAACACAGTTCCACACCAGCCACTGTAAAAAAAAAAAAAAATCTGGCACAACCAAAACCAGCAAAACATCCAGCCCCGAGTGTCTTCTAGGAGCCCATAATATCATATGTGGACAAATGGATTTCAGGTGCTGCCTATCTCTCCCTCTTGATGACAAGTAGCCTGGAAAAGTATTTTAGACAAGATGCCTCTCTTGTAGGAAATTTGAGGTCAGATGAGTCTTGTGCTCTGTGAGCTTGCAACAGCATGACAAATGGTGCTTTAGTGTGCAAAAGAACATGTTTTTACTCTTATGAATGAGATGTACAATCACAGTAGGTCAGTTTAATTCCTAAACCAGTTTTTTTCTTTCTCTTGCAGGTGTTTTGTCTTTTCTACATCCATGTTTCTGGAAAATCTGTGATGGTGGCAATATTTTTCTTCCCAATTTTAGCTCATCTAGCCTGGTCTCCAAACCTGCAACATGCTTTCCTGTTTATGCTGAGAAGTCTTATTGTTTATCTGCCTTTTATAAATTGTAAATTGTACTTTGCGTTTCTTGATAAAATTACTTCCCTCTTAGAGCTCCTGTTAGAAATCTCTTTGCTGATGGATCTGCTGAGGGCAGATGTGAATAATGTTTAATCCAGTACAATTTAGAGCCAACAGAGGATTTTCTTTAACTGAGAGTGTAAAAAGTACAAGTTAGATATTAGGTGTGATTGTATAGATGTGCATCCATGTGTGCATGTGTATATAGACATAGAGGAATGTACTTAKATTGCGTATCTATATATAAATATAAAAATATATAAATATATCTGCCTGTATAGGCAGAATGTATAGGCATTAGCATAGGGAGTTAATATGCATATATTTTTGTCTCTGTGTGTATACATACCTATGTATAAATGTATTTGAACAGTAATTTAATAGATGCAAAGAAGCTCAAATTGGTAAAATCTGTAAAATGCTTTCTCTTGCTCCTGAAGACAATTAAAATAAGCAATAAGACTAAATTACAACACAAATAATTATCAGTATTATAATAAATATAACATACATACTTAACAGCATCATTATATGAATATACTTTTGGTCTCCAGACTGAATTGTTTGGTTCAAATTAKCTAACTGTTTAGAACTTCCAGTTTTAACGGCTTTATTCTTCTGTTCATCTGCTACATTTTTTGGTTGCAGTTTATTTTTCATAAGAATATATGAAGAACATAACAAAATTGACAGATCTTCTTTAATCCACAAAAAACTGTTCATTTRAGCATTTTGGCTATTTTAGAACAACACATACAAATTCAGGATGAAATCTTACAAGGTATCAAATAATAAGAATTGTTTACCCTCTTCCTCACTGCAATAATACTAAAAATACATGGGTTGCTTTACTAAATTGTTTGAATCTCAGAATTATTACTTTAGTCCTTGTTTTCTTTTTGGTGTTACTGGGAAGTAAGAGGCCCCTTCCCCCTATTTTTGTTTAGGAAAGCTAGATGAATTATTTTTTGTTTTGATAATTGAGCCATATTAAATTCACAGAATATTTAATCTTAAAAGCAAAGAACCAATACCCAAGAAACATCACATAATTAGATGAYTAATATAGTCATATATGCTGCTATTTTTATAACTGCAATAGAATTATGTGTGTAAAGCAGTTTTTCAAATCTGTCAATGAAAGCTCAACAATASAACCAGTAGATGGCCCCAGCCTAACATCTCCCTTAGACCGTGGTGCTCTGGTTTGCGGGAAGTTGGACTGGTGAAACAGCTCTTGCTAGAATATTCAATGCCCTGATACATCGAAAATTAGGGATCAGAATGATGAATAAAGACTTTGTTTATAGTTACCCAAAGTGTAGGGTACCCTTCAATAAAGCTGGGAACCAACTGAATGTTGAACTGAATGTTTGAGGTTTGACTTGTATGGGGACAAAACCCCCCAAATGAAGTCAAGGAAAAAAGTGCCTTTTCTCACAGGTGGTAATGCCTCTGTGAAATAATGAAAAAATGAAGTAAAATTAAGAACATTTTAAATTCTGTAGGGAGTAGAGTCTGTACAAGAGAGGAGCTGAGGTGGAARTTGGATCCTGCTGAAAGGAAGACAAGAACTAATGTGTATTTTCATTGATTATCGCATTGGGGAAAAAATAATTCTCTTGCTATTTAAATTTAAAAAATCACAAGACTTAACAAGGTTTTATCGGACTAATGTTTTAATAACTGAATTCTACTGAGTAATAAAAGGAAGGAAGGATTTTACTGTGACCAGAGCACCAACTAGGGATTTGTAAATGCAGGTGTGATTCCTGGCAATGCCACAGTTAGAAAAAGCAAGCATCAGGGGGAAAGTTGCTCAATTGAGTGTGTAATTTCTTATATCTACTTGAGCTTGTTTATACACTGTTTCCATAAGCTGCTGGGTACCTAGTGAATACATGTGTCAGGGTATGTTTGGGTAATTGGAGCATGTATCTGTTAAGGATGCAAGCTTGGAATTTAGAGGTTTAGCAGTTTCAACTTATTAGGGAACTAGAAAGACCCAGTGAAATGTAATATGAAGGCCATCTATGTATCAATTCATTCTGTGTTTAGACGGAAACGAAGTATAGCCAAAATTATTCACTGATTTTGGATGCCTAGGGTGAAGTATCTTGGACCTGATATTTTATAGTAATTCATAAGTTTAGATGCCTATAGTCCTCTAGAATTAAGTTCCAAGAATACTAAAAGAGAAAAGGACTAGTTCTCAGTCACTTTGGTTTAGATGAAGAGCAGGTATCCTAAAACTCAACTTCTGACTAACCATGGATARCTTCAATTTCTTTAATATCTAAAGTCTAGGAAATATTAAATTGCAACTTTGAGATTTTAAGATTTCACAACCCAAGTTGGGAGGATTTAAAAAGGGCTATAGAAAATAGGAAAACAGAACGACATTAAAAAAAAAAAAAGATTTAAATGATTCCAGAATGGTCATGTATTTTATRGAGAAGGAAAAGTTTGATTTTTTCTGGGCAATATTCAAATTCCTTAATCTAGCAACCCTTTTGCAAGTGCTGCATCATTCACTATATCAGACTACTCTTCCACAGCAAGTGAGGGATTGGCTACCTCACATTTAGCGTCTTCTTCAATACAAACTGTTCACTTATTCCCAGATCCAAGTGAGAAGGAGAACTTCTGAAAATATGCGCTTATTAAATGACCTGCTGTTTGAAAAGGTACTCATACAGCTGAGCTGAATTAACATTATAAAAGCAAATTCAGATATTTCTGATCTCAATGAGTCACTGATGTTCTCTCAATGCAGCCTGTATTTGGCATGAGTTTTTTAGAATGCAAAACCATGAAGCAAAGTTGTAATTAAATTTATGAAGATTTCTTATTGTTGCTGTATGATTCCAGGTTTTCAAACACTAATTGTAAAAAACAAAATTCAATATTATAACTAGTATTAACTATTCTAGTYAAGGGCAATTCAGTATTTTAATATTGCAGCTTGTTTCAGTGACACTAGTGTATCTTAGTTGCTTTCCTGCTTGAACATACCTCAGAAAATACTGTATAGAAGTGTGACTGTTTTACTACTAGAATACAACAGACATAAGTTCAAATTTATTTTTTTTTGCCTTTTACTTGATAATTCTTGTAATTCATACTTGCATATTTCGTAAGTTCAACTGCACAACAAATAAATATAAGATACGGATTTTTTTTCAATACTGTACTGGTCAGTTTGATATGTAACCTCCCTAGCTGTTTTTCTTGGTTCCTATTACAATATTTGYATGTATGTATGTCTGTGTTACCTTTCTTTTCTCCTTTATCTCCTTAAAAACACAGCTTAAAAAACTAAATGATCATTAAAAAA